ATCTCCTTAGCCTAAAAACTAAAAACTTCCTTCATCCAATGGCTAGGATTCAATCAAACACATGCATTAATTACCTCATTAAACACATGCAATCTCCTTAGCCTAAAAACTAAAAACTTCCTTCATCCAATGGCTAGGATTCAATCAAACACATGCATTAATTACCTCATTAAACACATGCAAATAAAAACCTCCTTAGCCTAAAAACTAAAAACTTCCTTCATCCAATGGCTAGGATTCAATCAAACACATGCATTAATTACCTCATTAAACACATGCATTAATTACATCAACGCAGTGAATCCAGATTCACATCTCCTTAGCCTAAAAACTAAAAACTTCCTTCATCCAATGGCTAGGATTCAATCAAACACATGCATTAATTACCTCATTAAACACATGCATTAATTACATCAACGCAGTGAATCCAGATTCACTATAGTGAACCCAGATTCATTACCTTAACGAACACGTCCTTCACTGCAGTGAATCCAGATTCACTGCAGTGAATCCAGATTCATTACCTCAACGAACACATTTTTCACTGCAGTGAGTCCAGATTCACTGCAGTGAATCCAGATTCATTACCTCAACGAACACGTTTTCACTGCTGTGAATCCAGATTCACGGCAGTGAATCCAGATTTGTGTTCGTTGAGGTAATTAATGCATGTTCTGTTGACTGTTTGAATGAATCCCAGCCATTGGATTCATCTAGATCCAATTGTTGATTTTTCTATTTGTTTAACTGATTTTAGATTAATTTTGATGATCCATAGATTTAATATTAGCTTTTATGAAATTCGGAACATACAAATGGACTTTATTTGTATCACATGACCTATATATTTTACAAATTTTATCTGCTTTCCTCACATTTGTTTGTATTCGTATATATTTACTATTAGTTTATCTCATGTATACATACATTATTTTTATGGATATGGATATGAGTTTAGGTACCGAGACATATTTGCATTTGTATCTGTTATTAATAAAAAAATATGGATAGTGTAAGCATCATATCTAAGTTGTTTGCCCCCTACTTCCAAGACTTACATCACAAACCTGAGCAACAAATGTTGGATTATAAGAAAATTTAATGGGGTTGTTATTTTTTCCAGTTTGTTAACTTAGACCTGGACAATTGTCTATAAATATGACATTATTGGATTGGGATATGAACTCAAAATTTATGGTTAAAGCCACAAACTCTTGGGATTTTGTTTTGTTGAGTGGATTTCTTAAGCTTTTGGTTTGGATTCTTGAACTCTTACTCTGGATTCATAGATTGAGGGTCGAATTCTCAGGCTAAAATTTACATTCATTGGTTATTTGCTTAAGAAGTTTTAAATTAAATTATTATGCTAAATAATAATTATTAACATAAAATAAACATTAATTTGAAAAACCACTCTCATTTTGATTAATGGATAACAAAAATAAAACTGAATACATCTTGTAATCCATTTGAACAGTTGACATAATGCCGCATAAAAGAGGATAACTAGAGTTCAAGCACATAAATAAAAATAACTAGTGTTCAAGTACATAAATAAAATAACTTGTGTTCGATCAAATAAAAATTAATTTGCATATTTCAATATGTAAATATTAAATATATTAAAAAAATTATATCAACTATTTGACATAAAATATTTTAATGATTTAATATAAAATATTTTTTATGATTTATTATGTTAAAATATTACATATATATAACATTTCTTAAATATATTATTACATACATTTCATTTTTATTTAAATGTTAGATATGAAATATATCAAATAAACATATCTGTATAAAATATTTAATATATTAAGTGATTAAATAGTATCAAATATACTTCTTTTTAAATGAATTAAATAAATTTATAGAAGTTGATTACAAGTATTCCAAAATTAAATGCATTCAATGTTAATATTTAAATAATTTAGAAATATGAAATATCTAAAATTAAATATATTTTTAAACATAATAAATGCTTAAATAAGTAAAGAGAAGACGAGAGAGAAAATCCACATAGTAAGATCGCAATCCACCAATTTTAGTTTGGACATTCTTTTAAGAAGTTATTATTTGAAACTATATAGTTAGAATAGAATGTAGATTTTAAAATTCAAGCCCTAATAACAATCCTAGACAACCAATAACACATTACAAATCCTAATCTTAAACCAATAGCACGTTAAATTTAAATCAAAATCCTAGTTTAAACCAATAACAACTTAAATTCAAATCAGAATCCTAAGTCCTAACCGTTTAACACATTCAATTTAAACCTAAATTCTAGTCCAGAACGAATAATACCCTACAAGAGTGGCTTATGTGATGTTTTATGTAATTTACATGACTCATATGATATTCATGAGTAACAAGTGTTAAAATATATTCAGAATAAGAGCTCAAGAGGATCAAAGAAGGTGGTAGGTTGGTTGAGAGGAAGAAAATATATTGAACACAGATAAGATACTCCTGCAGGGATAAGGTAAAAAAAGTCCTACATTAATTAGTCCGAGATGAGCAAGTGAGTGGAAGAAGAGAAGAAGAAAGTGGCATCCAACCAACACCCCCCCACGGTGGACCCCACACCAACACGCCCCTCTCTTTGCTGTCACTCCTCTCTACTCCTCTCCTCCTTTAAAACCAATCTCTACTCTCCCTCTCCCTCTTCTTCTTCAGGAAAGAGAGGAGCTCGTTCCCTTTCCAGCACACAGCAATGGCTCCATCACCAGATACAATCAAGATTGAGCGCTACAACAGCTACCTCCGCCGTGTAAACAGCGTGAAGATAATGGCGGCGGCCTCCTCCAAGCTCCTCTTCAGAACCACTCTCCTCACCACCGTCGTCCTCGTCGTCCTCTTCACTGTCAATTACCCACCTCTCTCGTCCTCTTCAACCCCAACCCAAACCTCACCATTCTACAATTCTCACCGTAGCCTTCTCTCCTCCTACACCTCTACCAAGAATTCCGGCGCTGCGTGGGAGAAGCAGGTACGATAAAAAAAAATCACCTTTTTAAGCCCTCCTACAATTACAATCGGCCCCCATAGTTTTTAAAGTTTTGCATTCCAACTTGGTTTTTCAAACAATTTCAATTTAGCATTTACAAATTAGAAGCTTATTTTCATTCAGCTCATTTGAAATTCATAGCCAGTTTACAAGTCAATATCGTCTGTCTTGTCTGAGAAAATTTTTCTGGATCTGCCACTGCAGGTCAGGACTTCTGCTGCACCCCGTAGGCATCATGGCATGTCGGTGCTTGTAACGGGGGCGGCGGGGTTTGTAGGGACCCACTGCTCACTGGCGTTGAAGAAACGAGGGGATGGGGTCGTGGGGCTTGATAACTTCAACTCATACTATGATCCGTCGCTAAAGAGGGATCGGCAGGCGATGCTTGGGAGGCATGGGGTGATGGTGGTGGATGGGGATATCAATGATGGGCCGTTGCTGGTGAAGCTTTTCGATGTTGCCGCGTTTACCCATGTCCTTCATCTTGCTGCTCAGGTATTCATTCATTCAGTACACCTTGCCCTGTTTTGTTGAAATAAGTTTCAAAATGAAAAAAAAAATGTGCAAAAAAGAAAATATTCTGCTTGTTTGTGCTCTATCCTACGAGATATCGGTATGGTTAGTAAATTCAATGCAAACTGGGATTCACATTACAATAAATAGGTTAGAGGTAATTGCTGGATTTAATAAATGACAGTGATTTTTGACACAGGTATTGTTTAATATGAAAATTCTGGTGTCACTGATTTCTTGACGTTTTAATTTGCTTTAATTGTTGGCGATCTCTCTGTTTTCTTGATGATTTTCGGATTCAATGAATTTAAGTAAGTTTCAAACGTTACGGTTAGTTGTTTTATACAAAAATTAAATCTACTTATTTTCAATCTGTTCTACAGATAATCAGTATGATTTATTAAACTTAATGGCAATCCCCTCACCTGTTTTTGTTAAAATTTCTAAATGTTCCATTATGAACTAGCAAAACATTATGATTGATTGAACGACCGTAATTCTTTCTTGTAAATAGACTAGTGATAAATTATTGAAATCGATAAATGATATTGATTTTTGACAAAACAATTCATAATCCATGTACATGTTCTGTATATCACTATCTCTGTACACTGTACATAAAATTGTAGTTATGTTTCTAAAACTACTATGTATTGTTTATTAGTACTACTAATAGCTTTGGATCCAATTCCGATTATAATAATCATATCTTGTAATTTAGTTTAGAATGTGCTGTAAAAACTAAATTTTTTTTACCCTCCTGCATCTAAAAGGCCGGAGTTCGCTATGCAATGAAGAACCCCCAATCCTACGTCGCATCCAACATCGCGGGCCTCGTTAACCTCTTCGAAATCGCAGCAAAAACTGCAAACCCGCAACCCGCAATTGTATGGGCCTCCTCCTCCTCCGTCTACGGCCTCAACACCGAAAGCCCCTTCTCGGAGCTCCACCGAACTGACCAACCCCTCTCTACGCTGCCACCAAAAAGGCCGGCGAAGAAATCGCCCACACATACAACCACATCTACGGCCTCTCCATAACAGGCCTCCGCTTCTTCACCGTTTTCGGGCCGTGGGGCAGGCCTGACATGGCCTACTTCAGCTTCACCAAGGACATCCTCAACGGAAAACCGATAACGGTGTTCCAGACGCAGGACGGGAAAGAAGTCGCCCGCGACTTCACCTACATTGACGACGTGGTAAAGGGTTGTCTCGGGTCGTTGGATACTGCAGAGAAAAGCACGGGGAGCGGAGGGAAGAAGAGGGGGCCGGCACAGCTGAGGGTGTACAATTTGGGGAACACGTCGCCGGTGCCAGTAGGTAAATTGGTGGGCATATTGGAGGGATTGTTGGGAGTGAAGGCAAAGAAGAATATCGTCAAGATGCCTAGAAACGGAGATGTGCCGTTCACACATGCCAATGTGAGCCTGGCGGCGCATGATTTGGGGTACCAACCGAGGACGGATTTGGCGACGGGATTACGGAAGTTTGTGAAGTGGTATGTTGGTTATTACGGGATTAAGTCGCCGATGAAGGGTGGGGGGTTGAAAGAGTAGCAGAGGTGGGGGGTAGGTGGGTGGATGTTGCGTGTAAAAATGAGTGCGCGTTAAGTTAAAATGTGAATCTTACAGTTGGTGTTTTGTTCTAAATGTTCAAATTTGTAGTATATGTTATGATGATAATGATGGTGGTGATGATGAAGCAAGTGTATTTATTTAATCATAGGATAAGAGAAGAGAATAAGGTAACACGTAGAAGGGTGGGAAGAGAATAAGGTCTCTCTTTAGGATTTTTTTTGGTATTTATATTTATTTATGTACTTTTTTATCAATGTCTGTGGAATGTTTTCTTTTCTTTGTACCGAAGGAATTGTTATAAAAGAAAGAGAGTTTTGCTGTGGGGATGTAAATCCTTGCAGTTTCTTTATCAAGATGCATTGGTTATTGTTAGAATTAATATAAAATTATAATCCTCAAATCTCAACATAATTTCGGAGTTTTAATTTGTGTAATGATTAGAGGATTTAATTTAAGATTGTATTAGAGCAACACAAATTTTAAATCTTACTGCCAACAAATTTAATATGGATTTTAAAAAATAATTACTGCTAGGTGAGTCCATGTTTTCAACCGATAAAAAAGGCTCTCAACTTGTGGGGGTGTGTTAGAATTAATATAAATCTACAATCCTTTAGAGTCTTGGTCGTATGTTATAATTAATATAAAACTATAATACTCGACCACACCATAACTCTAGAGTTTTGATCTTAGATGACTTAATTTAAGAGTTATTCTAATTTTGTTCTAAGTTGGTTAAATAGTAGTTACTGTTTAACAACAAAATTCTAATAACAATATATACTTGAATAGTTAATAGGATCAGGAAGCAATTAGTACTAACACACTAAGAACAATAATTGAAGCACCGGAATATGATTAAAGGGATGAAATCTAAAGCAATTCAAGTTTAGCTGTTAAGCTTGCTGTGTTAATTATAATGCTTCATGTATGTAAATAAGAAAAATAGGGGCAGCATAATTTAAGAAATCAATAATAATGAAATCTGAAATCTATGTCATCACAGGGGGGAAAAAGTAGCATAGCTAAGCATCTAAGTAACATATCATACATTATATAAAGACATCCTTGCCAAAGCAAAGTTCATAACGTGTAAAGTACTAAAATAAAATAAACGTATCAAGCTAAAACAATGTTTTGGATGCCCAAAAACAAGCACAAAGATATAAGAAGAGATAAAGTGCAGATAACATCATATTCTCTCTCTTTTATTTATACTCTATAACACAAATTCATTAGACAAACAAAGTGAAAGATAGCATATCTTTATTTTCAAACTCTGTTTTAAATGTATATCCTAGCTTTGGAGATGTTTGTGGAACTATGATGTAGGTATATATTTATCCTATAATAATTCCATCAGAAAGGAGCTTTCTTGGATCTGAAGCATTTATCATTTGCTAATGCAATTGGTATATTGTGCCGTGCGTAAGTTTCTAGAGACAGAGTTTGAGAGGACCTTGTTCCTCTGTTGAATCTAAAATTGTTGTTCCTAGCCATGGCCAACTCAAGAATGCACCAATAATAGAGAATTTGTGAAGAAAATTGTGAGGATTGAGAGAATAAGAACAGAAGAGGGACTGAATATGAAAATTAAGAAGAGGAGAACAATTCTTATTCCTTCCTCCTATTTTCAGTATTACAACTTCTCTTTTATATCTCCCCGATACAGTTTTCCTCACTGATTCCCTTACAGGTTACATGTGCACGTGCACAAACAGTAAAACAACTACAAACAGAATTAACCAACTAACAACTAACTAACAACTTATAACTGTCTAACTGAACTCTACATTCTCTTATCATAAGCACATGCTATGGTGCCTTTGCACATTACCCCTTCATCCATATAGATTCAGCTTCAGCTCCTCAGTCATGCCTGTGCACAATCAGCTTCAGCTCCTCTATTTGACTGTAGTTCCTGACACCTGACAATTCCCCCCGCTTAAATTTGACCTTGCCTCAAGGTCAAAAGCAGGAAAACGCTTAACCAAGTCCCAGTATGATTCCCAAGTAGAGTCTAATGCAGAGCGCTGCTTCCATTTAATTAAAACCTGGGATATCAAGTGATTACCCTTTACAATAGACCTTATGTCTAAAATGTGCTCAGGTTCATCAACAATCTCTGAGGTATAACTAGGGAAATCATCTTGTAAGACAATGCCAGTGCCCACTTTCTTTTTCAACTGAGATACATGGAAAACTGGATGGATATGAGATTGTGCTGGTAAATCCAGCTTGTAGGCAACTTCCCCTATCTTCTCCAAAATTCTATAGGGACCATAGTATTTGGGAGATAGTTTGTGAGGCTTACTAGAAGAAACACTAATTTGTCTATAAGGTTGGAGTTTGAGAAAAACCCAATCACCCACAGCAAAAGTTCTGTAACTCCTATGTGTATCAGCAAAACGTTTCATATTTTCCATAGCACTTTTCAAACTGTCCTTCTGGAATTTCAGAGCTATATCTCTTTGTTAGACCCTATAAGGGGGGGTGATTAGGGTCTTATGCTAATCTAATCTGATTAAATGCCAATTAAAACTAATTAACAAATATATTCTTGCAAGATAGATATACAAAGAGTTATGTGCAAGAATATGCAATATACACAAGGTGATATATCCTATATGATAGAAATATATGCAAGGATATATAAACAATAAGATATATCCTAACAAAGAGATATAGATAATGTATGTGCAAGGATATAAAACTAACAAGAGGGGTAAACAAATTAACTACAAATGTGATATGGCAAAATGATCAACAAGCAATACACAATGGCGATGTAAGATATGAATATGAAAACAAGTGCGCCAATGCAATCACAAACAAAGGATATGTTTACGAGGTTCGGTCCGCACGACCTACGTCCCCGCTCCTCACCTCGAGGAGATCTCCACTATCACAACCGGGTTTTCTACGTTCACCCGAACAACGTTTACACCTCACAATACAATCACTATGCAATCACACCTCACACACTAAGTGTTGGTCCTAGCCCGTGTCCTCCTCCTCAAGTGCTCGGTTACAACCTCTCCCTAGGCACGTCAACCGACGCCACTCCTCTTGGATTCGACCCCGTCTCTCACCACACACTTCTCTCGGTGTACAAGTGTATTACAAGTGAATCCTCACAATTAGGCACAATATGATAAATAATTGTTCTCTCTAACAAGGTGAGAACTTAATTAAGCACAACTCTTAGTCACAAACCCACAATCCCAAATTATACTATGAATGTAAATACAATAAGCTCAATAGGTTGTGTGTGAACAAAGAGATAAAATAATATAAACTCAATATGAAATCTAGCTTATGAAATTAAGAACAAACTTATAAAATACTAGAATCGAGTTTAAGAAAACTTCTCTATAGATGACAAGAGAGAGGGAGAAGAATGAATGCTCAAACACCAAGGATGATCTCCACTTGCTCTTGTGAAATTTGCTCCACAAACCAAACTCTTGTAAATGCTTAAAAGCTTTTTAAACAAACACTAAACCCTCGGATATGACAGAAAACTGAAAACTGTTTTTCTGATTTTAAAACGCTGTTTAAAAATATCAAATAAATTCCAAAAAATATAAAACTTTGGGGAATGATTGTAGACATGATAATAAACATGCTACAGTACAAAATGTAAAATATAATCATTTTGCAAGGAGGTCCAAAACACGAAAATATAAACACATGAGTTTTGTCATTTTAGCTAAACCATGTTTTGAAACAATACAAAATGATTTTATAGACTTAATAGAAGATGTAAACTATTGTTATGAAGTCTATAAATAATGAATATAGTATTTTATCAAAATACACATATAATACACTAAAACATGATTTCATGGAACTAAATAAAATTGATATTGATGAAGTCATATAAATGTATTAAGTATGAAACAAAAGTATGTTTTCCAATTGTATTCAATTGTTTCATAGTAAAACGTGAAAACTATTAAACCAAAACATATATGTATATATATAACTATATATATACATGAAAACCAATAAATGTGTGTGTGTGTATGATATTGAGCTTAAAGTACCAACACACATAATATAAACTCCTAAACTAAATTACCCAAGCAATCTTGATCTTCAACGAAGCTCTATCTTGGTACACTTGCGGATGAAGCTTGAACTTGATCTTTAACTTGAATTGTATAGACTTCAACCCGACATTCCTCCAACCTCCTTTGGATATCATCGTTGAAGCGCTATTCCATCCATCCTCCAACAACGTTGTTTGTCTACAAAACATAGGAATACACAAACACTAGACAAACAATATTAGTAGTAAATTGTTTGTAAATCATCATCAAAACAAGAAGGCCAACACTCTTGAGAATAAAACCTCATCAACTGCTTCCACTCGACAGCTCTTAGGGACATAGGAGAGTAAAGAAGGAGGTTGTCTCCCATATACCACCTCAAAAGGAGTAGTTTGTGTAGAACTTTTCCAAGTGGTGTTATACCAAAATTCAGCCAATGTTAACCATTTACTCCATTCACTAGGTTTGTGACAGCAAAAGCACCTCAAATTATTCTCCAAATGCTTGTTAGTAATCTCAGTTTGACCATCTGTCTGAGGATGATAGGCGGAGCTGAATTTTAATTGGCTTCCTTGCAACTTGAACAATTCTTTCTAGAATAAACTAGTAAACAATGGGTCTCGATCACTTACAATTGATTTGGGTATGCCATGTAATCTGAAAATCCCTTCAAAAAACACCTGAGCCACTGTCTGAGCAGTGTAAGGATAGGAAAGTGCAAAGAAATGAGCATATTTGGATAGTCTATCAACAACAACAAGGATGGCAGATTTATTTCCACTCTTAGTCAAATGTGTGATAAAATCCATAGATATATCCTCCCATACAAAATCTGGTATAGGGAGAGATTGTAAAAGCCCTGGGGATGCCACGTTCTCTCCTTTAGATCTCTGGCAAATATCACAAGCTTGTACATAAGCCTGTACATCTTTTTTCATTCCCTTCCAGTAGAAGACTCTTCTCAATCGATGCAAAGTTCTAGTGATCCCAGAGTGTCCTGCAACAGGGCTATCATGATGCTCCTTAAGTAGAATTGTTTTCATGTCTTGAGCATTAGGACTAATCAAGAGTTTGCTCTTATAGTAGTACAGTCCTGCTTTTTTGCAGTATGTGTCAGGTTCTAACCCCCCTTGTAATAATTTTGCATCCAAGTCTGTAAAGAATTGATCCATAGAGTACATTTGTCTAATTTTTTCCAACCACTCATTGTTAATGGTAGAAATAGCTGATGTTGCAATAACCAAGCCTTGTGTGTCCTCTACATCTTCATGAATTCT